ACACACACACACACACACACACACACACACACACACAGTGACCTGTTATGGTAGCACTACCTGTGTGACCACACTGGGAACACAGGATTTGTGAAGATACTGGAAAAGATTGGCTCCTGAGGTTTGAACTCAGGGCCTAAGTGCTGTCCCTGAGCTTCTTTTGCTCAAGGCTAGCACTCTACTACTTTGAGCCACAGCTCTACTTCTGTTTTTGTTTTGCTGGTTGTGGGGCCTGAACCCAGGGCCTCATGCATACAAGGCAAACACTCTACCACTGAGCCACCTTCCCAGCCCTCCACTTCTGGTTTTTAAGAGGTTAATTGGACATAAGAATCTCACTCTCAGAGGAACTTTTCTACCAGGACTGGCTTCCAACCAAAAGCTTCAGTTCTCAGCCCCATGAATAGCTAGGTGTGAGCCACTGGCACCTGGCTTCTCTCAAAAAAAATTTTTTTTTGTCAGTTGTAGGCCTGAACTCTGGGCCTGGGCACTGTCCCTCAGCTCTTCAGCTCAAGGCTAGCGTTCTACCACTTGAGCCATAGTGCCACTTCCAGCCTTTTCTGTTTATGTAGTGCTGAGGAATCCAACTCAGGGCCTCATGTATGCAAGGCAAGCGCTCTACCACTGAGCCACCTTCCCAGTCCCATCTTCCTATCTTTCTTTAATGTGTGCCAGTCCTTGGGCTTGAACTCAGGGCATGGACACTGTCCCTGAGTCTCTTTTGCTCAGGGCTAGCAGTCTTCCACTTCCGGCTTCTTTGGACGTTTATTAGAGATAAGGGTCTCATGGACTTACCTGCCCAGGATAGACTTCTTTTTGGCCAGTCCTGGGGCTTGAACTCGGCCTGGGCCCTGTCCCTGAGTTCTTTTTAAAAGCTCAAGGCTAGCGTTCTACTACTTGAGCCACAGGGCCACTTCTGGCTTTTTCTGTTTGTGTGACTGAGGAATCAAACCTAGGGCTTCATCTATTCTAGGCAAGCACTCTACCACTGAGCCACATTCCCTTCCCCATGCACAAGCTAGATTTGAGCCTTGATCCTCAGATCTCAGCCTCCTGAGTAGCTAGGATTATAGGTATGAGCCACCCACTCAGCAGTATTTTGATTATTTTTCTTTTTTTGAGAGTTCTAGATGACTCTCTACATTGCTTCATCTCCCTACTCCCAGGATAAATATAAGTTTATGCTCATACTCTTCATTGTCCTCAGTTTTTTTTTCTTCTCTGTAGGTTCCCACACATGTCTAATTCAAACAGGAAGTACTGTACATGTTGTTGTTGTTGTTTTTTGGGTCCAGTTGTGGGGCCTGAACTCTGGGTCTGGGCGCTGTCCCTCAGTTCTTCAGCTCAAGGCTAGCGCTCTACCACTTAAGCCACAGCCCCACTTCCGGCTTTTTTTTCTTATGTGGTGCTGAGGAATCGAACCCAGGGCCTCAGGCATGCAAGGCAAGCACTATACCACTGAGCCACCTTCCCAGCCCCAGGACTGTACATGTTGGGTACTGAGGGCAAATAAAGGTGTTTAGATTCAGCAAGAAAGAGAAATAGCTTCTAGTATTTTGTTTTACCTACTTATTTGTTTCACCTCTCCCTTCTTTCTAGTCTACTCACAATGCTTGGTTCTTTTTACTAGGAGAAAACATGATCTGGTTTCAAAAGTTGTTTTTTTTTTTTGCTGGCTGGCTGGCTCATTCTATTGTCTTCCAGCTTTGTGGTCCTGTTGTCTTTTCTAGTTTCCTGCAATCACACAGCTTGACTGTAGGTGTCCTCAGCGCTTCCTGCTAACCACTGACTCAGGCAAGTCTTTAGCTAACACCATCTTTTATTGAAGAAGTAACAGTAGCCACCAATCTTGTTACATAACATAACAATGTCCTGGAGTGTTAAAACAAGTCATAATTTACTGAGAGTGCAAATCTGGCAACAGTAATGTTCACTAACACAATATTGTAGAAATGGTGTAACAAATTTGACTTTCTGGCTCCTCAGAACCTTAGAGCTGTAAGGGACTTGACACATCTTTTTTCTTTTTGTCGGGCGTGGGGCTTGAACTCTGGGCCTGGGCACTGTCCCTCAGCTCTTCAGCTCAAGGCAAGCGCTCTACCACTTGAGCTACAGCGCCACTTCCGGTTTTCTGGTGGTTTATTGGAGATAGGAGTCTCATGGTCTCTCCTGCCTGGGCTGGCTTTGAACCTTGATCCTCAGATCTCAGCCTCCTGAGTAGCTAGGATTACAGGCGTGAGCCACTAGCGCCCGGCTGACACATCTTTTTTCATTCTTCCTTATTTTTGCAATGCTGTGTGTGTGTGTGTGTATGTGTGCATGCTCTGCACCTCAAACCCAGAGCCTCAGATTTGCTTGTTCTACTATAGAGCTAAACTTTCCTTAAACCTGAGAACAAAGAATCTGCCCAAGAGGCATGTGAATTGTTAGAAATCAAGTTCTTGATAATCTAAAGAATCTTATCACATCTTAAAAGATTAAATGCTAAACTTTCTTCTTTATGATTCTTTCTTACCTGAAAGCATTTGTTAATTTAAACTTTGCAAACTGTCAGTTGTAAGCAGAGACAATGCTTTTACTTACCTTGAAACTACAAATCAAAGGCTGATAATGACAAGTGGTAAGGTACTTTAGCTTTTTTTTTTTTTAACTAACATTGGGATCTTATTCACAACCAACCATATAGTGTACATAAACTGAATACAAGCTGATTGCACAAAAATCAATTTTAAAGACCGCTGAGTGGACTTAAGGGTGAAGTTTTAAGGCACCTGAGGATCTACCCCAGAACCATTCTGAGTTTATGTTCAAATTATGGCAGCAGGTTGGAGTCAGTTGGGCTTTGAAGCATGTCATATTCTGAAAACTGCTCAATAAAAGATGAGCTTTTCTTTCTCTCATTTTCTTCTTCCTAAAATGTCAGTGGAAATAGCTTCCCTGGATGGACTGCGGAACTCCAGTGGCTTAGCGGAAAGGCTGGAACTGCTCTCTGCTCTTGCTGGGTCAAGCACTCTTTATCAAATTGACCTGTTTTCCTGCGGGGAGACTCTGCCCCACTCCACCCACCTGCAACCTCTCGGCATTTCCCCATTGCCAGGAGTTTATATATTTTTTTAATCCTCTCTTCCTTGAAAAGCACCGCTCCACTTGAACCCAGAACGTAGGTTCCTCCCCTTTGATTACACTGTCGATCCTACTTTCTCTCCTGGGTTTGGGGGAACCCAAACTTATCTTTTCCAGTGTCCCTAACACCTCTTCCCCACTTTAGCCCAAATTATCCGCAGGGCAGGGACAAGAAGGGGGGGGGGAAGGAAGCCTCGCTCCGCAGAAGGCCAGGTGGGACTGGTCCTACTTTATTAAATTCTATTGGCTCGGGTCCGGAGGGTATTGCTTCTGGTAACTTCGGCTCTGAGATGGGAAGGGTTTTAAGTTGTGGGGGTAGGAATGGCTATCCACGCTCCGCCCCTCCTTCCCAGTAGAAACTCTGTAAACATTTCCCCCTCCTCTTCCCCAGTCTTGATCCGGGGGGGGGAAAAAACCCTAAACCCAAACAAACAGCCTCCCAGGCGTGGGGAGCACACCCATCCTTCCCCATCCAATCTCCCAGCCCCGCCCGCCAGTGGCCCCGACCCTCCAGACTCGGCCCCCACGCAGCCCCGCGAGCACTCCCGGCACCCGAGCCCCGCCAGGGCCCAGGGGTGGGGGGCGGGAGGTAGGGGAAGCAGGGGGCGGAGTTCCGTCCTCTGCTGATTGGCTCCACGCGGATGGGCTGCGGCCGTTCCAGGCCAACCCGCGGCGTGTTGCTATGTGCTGAAGTGAGGGGATAGGCGCGGGGGAGCGCCCATCACAGGGCAAGGCAGCCCCCGGCCCGGCCCGGGAGGGATGCCGAGTGGCGGCCGCCGAGGCAGTGGCAGAGACTGTGGCTTTAAGAGCGCGTAGGGAGCCGCGGACCCAGCCGGAGCGTCCTTCGCAGCTGCGCACCCCCGCGGAGCCGAGCCTGGCGCTGGCCCGACGCGCCAGGCGGCTGCCAGGTAAGTGAGACGGGAGCGCGGCGCACGGAGCGCGGCGCGCGGGGCCCGGAGTCTGGAGTCCGGAGCCGGGAGAGCGGAGTCCGGGGAGTCCGGAGCGCGGGGGCGTGGGGCGCGCTGTCAGCGCGGGCTCTGGGTACCCCGCACTGGACACCCGCCCTGCGATCCCTCCGGCTGAGCTGCGGCGGAGAGCGCAGCCCTTCCGTCCCGGAGCACGGTGGCCAGGTCCTTACCTGGGGTCTCCTTGGGGGTCCCGGGCGGACCGGGGGGGGCGGGGAGCGGGCTGCCAGGCCCACGTGACCGGTTTGTTTACAAACACTGGCGGGGCCCTGCGGCGGCCCAGCGGAGCGGGCCGATGGTGGCCAAGGGCCGCGGGTTCGGGGTTCGGAAGACCCGTGCCAAGAAGCCAGGCGGGGTTGGGGACCGGGAGCTACGTCCGTCCTCTTGCTGGATCCTTCCCGTCACCCCCGCGGCTGGCCGGGGAGGACTTGATGTGTCTGATGGTCCCGTGTGACTCTGTGGTCCCCTGGAGACGGTCCCGGGACGCTGCCTGTGGGGGGGCGCACTGCCTTTGGGGATGTTGGGGGATTGGGTATGTGGGGGTCGGGTGGGGGAGGCTGGCCACCCTCGAAACTTCTAGGAGCGCTTTGCCAACTCCCGGCCGAGGTAACCGCAGCGAGTTCCTGCCTCGCGGTAGCTCCCGGCACCTCCCCAGCATCCTTGCCAGACAGGGTGGGCGCCAGCTCTCCTGCCCCGCCGAGTGTGGGCGCCGCTGCAGTGATCAGCTCCCGGGAGCTGCGGTGGAGGGGAGCCGGGGCTCCCACCGCCTGAAGTTGACCCTGCTGTCTGACAGGCCTCAGGTGTTTTTCCTCCAGATGGTGGGCATGGGGCTGAGGGCTGGGAAGGAAGGAAGGAAAGCAGGCAGACGACACTCTTGGCCAAGTGTGTGAGTGTCCTTCATCTCTCTCACAGTGCCGGGGTGGGGGCACCGGGACTTGCTCTTGGGTTCTTTGCGATTTGGCCTCCGTGTTGATTTGCCATCCCTTGCAACGTGGGAGTCTTTGACGAGTCTAACAAGACGACGGACTGCTCTTTTCTCTCCCTTCCTTTCCTCCCTTTTCCTTCTAGTCCTGCGAGATGAGGCTCCCTATCCAGAGCATTGGGCAAGAAGAAGGCCAGTGGCCCACTTTCCTGCACCCACTAACTAGCCCACACTAGGGGGAGGAGGTGATAAGTAACTCTCATTAGCTTGGTTTCACATGCTTGATGTTGTCCACTGATCTTCTGATCCCGGGGTCACAGGACTTTGGACCTGTGAGATTGGCTTTGACCATTCTCTCCCTTTCCTTTTTTTTAACCTAGTCTTTGTCATTGGACTTCGGAGATGGGTGTAACCTGAGTTGGGTGCATCCGTCCCTCACTTCCTGAACACTTGATGTTTGCCTCCCAGGACCATTTTCACTCTTCTGAGCTGTGACATAAGTGCCTGCAACCTCCCCCTTCCCCCAAACAAAGCAAAACAAAACCAGGCCCAATCTCAGGAGAGCTGTGTAAAGAGCCTTTGATATATACTTTGTCCCCAGCTCCTTGGTAGGCTCTTGAGCAGGAAATGGAGTGGGGGACTTGGACTCATCCTCTTCCTCAATTGGGCTTTGCCTTATCAATTTAGGCTTCAGTGACACCACCTCTCAGTATCTCTGTACTTGAACTAGAATCAAGCTTGAGGTTAGGTGGAAAATAAACAACTTGCATGAGTATACTGTTTTCAGGAACATAAATTTTCAAAATTAGAATGGGAGGCACCTTAACAAGTTTACATTTTACAGTACCTGGGTACCGGTCTATCTACAACTAAAATAAGTTCCAGGAAACAATAATTATTACCCTTGCTGCCTGCAGTGTACTTTATTCCATTTTTTTCCAACTTCATTAAAAAAAATACCAACTGGTAGTCATGACTCATTAATTTGATTTCCTAACCAAATAGGTCATGACCCATGGAGAAACATTGCTTTAGGGCGGAGGTCCTGAAACTTGAATGTGCATAAACATGGCCAGGGTAGTGTTTAAAAATACAGAGGTGTTTATTTACAGTGGGACATAGGCATCTACATTTTTAATAAGTGGTCCATGAACAATGAGAAACATTAACGTGAATATGACATGCAATAATTCTGGTATCTAACCCACACCCCATGCAAGCGGAGATCACTAGCTTCAGCTTTGATAAGTTAAACAGCACCATGTAGTTTTTTTCTCAAGTGTTAGGAAGCAGTTGGTGTAAGACACCAGTGGCCTTCCCTGCTCTACTTCACTCCAGCTCATTTGAGGGCTGCTGTTTGCTGTTCTGTACCATTGGATGTTTCTGGGTGTGTGGGGGTTGGGGTTGTGAGTAGTGCTGATGAGCTGTTGTACTGTTCACAGATGTGAGTTTTCATTGTCATAATGTTCGTGGTTTTGAGGCAGCAACTCAGTCATTGTGCCTGGGGGATTAACAATTGGCCGGCAGAAGAAAGGATTGATTTTGTTTAATATCGCAATGGTATTCCAGACTGTGTAGCTTGGGGGGGAAAAGACAGACGGTGACTTTATTTGTGGAGTAGGGGAAATGGGGAGGGGGAGGACATGCCTGTCATCAGATGTAATAAGAGATGCAAGTTCCCACACCTCTTTGCCTATTCAGCATTGTATCTTTACCATTGTGAGGGCCCAGCTCCTGTTTGTTAGGTGGATCTTGTTAGTCATCCAGTTTCTGATGCTGTCACCTCTTACCCCTGAGCACAGATCTAAACCTCTATAGCCATTGTGTCCCAACTTGATGGTGGAAGAAAGTTCTTTTGAATTAATCAAAGCTCCAGTGTAGCTTCAGAAAGACTATAAATTATCCATATTCAAATTTGACTATGGTCCTTCTTTGCAAAGGTGTGCCTTTGTATGGGAAGATGAACTGTGGGCTTGTTTAACGTGAATGATGTTCCCTTTGGCCAAGCGGCTCACATTGAGAATGTTTAGTCTTCAGCAAATGGAAAAAAGAAAGCAAAATAGCATGGCAAGGAATAGGATCTCTTTGGATAGGGAAAGCAGAGGGAAAAGAATCAGTTGAGATTCTAATGGAGGACGGGATCAGTTCCCTCATCATTCCCCTAGGAATCTGTCAAGCCAACCATTGGGTGCTCTGATGAGTATAAAGGGAACGGAAGAGGCCTCATTGCGAATTATAATGATGGAAAGCCAGCCAGAGCCTGAAGACTAAAGATATTTGGTTAGAGTTGACACATTTCAGTGAGAATATATATTTTTTTGCCAGTCCTGGGACTTGAACTCAGGGCCTGGACACTGTCCTTGAGCTTCTCTTGCTCAAGGCTAGCACTCTACCACTAGAGCCACAGTGCCACTTCCGGCTTTTTCTTTTATATAGTACTGAGGAATTGAACCCAGGGTTTCATGCATGCTAGGCAAGCACTCTACCACTAAGCCAGATTGCCAGCCCTCAGTGATAGTATTCTTAACAAAAGGAGATAGATAGCTGCTTGAGTCTTTTTTTTTTTTTTTGGGTCCGGTCGTGGGGCCTGAACTCTGGGCCTGGGCGCTGTCCCTCAGCTCTTCAGCTCAAGGCTAGTGCTCTACCACTTGAGCCATAGCACCACTTCTGGCCTTTTCTGCTTATGTGGTGCTGAGGAATAGAACCCAGGGCCTCATGCATGCAAGGCAAGCACTCTGCCACTGAGCCACCTTCCCCGCCCAATTATTTTGTTTTGTAACTACCACTTGTCATAGTATTTTTTTTATCCCATTATTCCATTGATAGGTTGGAAAATGATCCCAAAGCTCAGTTGTTATTTTGAATCTCCTCTACTGACCTTATTAAAGGTCTCACTTTTTTTTCTTGACCAACATTATCTTGTCTGTCAGTAATCACATTTTATTAATAATAGGAGGCACTATACTATAGTGGGAGTAAGATCCTGGGCTTTGGGTCAGGAAGAACTAGATAATTAGTTTTGTGACCTTGGACACTAAAATTCTCTAAACCCTGTTCCTTATTTGTAAAATGGGACTAATAATAGTTCCTCTCACATAGGATTTATGGGAGGATTAAGTGAGAAGTCGGAACCCAGCACAGAACCTGGCACATAAGTACTTGGTGCTAGCTATTTATAACAGCACTAATAAGAATAGTTGGATTCTCTTTTTCTATGAATGGCAGGAATCTATTTCCCAGCACATAGATTTGGGAGGGGAATGAAGTAGCAACTTTTTGTTGTTGCTGTTGTTCATGGGACTTGAACTCAAGTCCTGGGGTACTGTACCTGAGCTTTTTCCTCAAGGCTAGCACTCTACCTTTGAGCAAAAGCTCCACCTCCAGTTTTTTTTTTTTTTGTGTGTGTGTGGAATAAATTAGAGATAAGATTCTTCTTACTTTCCTGCCTGGGCTGGCTTCAAAACTTGATCTTCAGATCTCAGCCTCTGGAAAAACTAGGATTATAGGCGTGAACCCCGGAGCTCAGCAGCAAATCTTATGTAAACAAAGGCTAGAAATACCAATTAAATCTATCAGAACCCAAGGCATTTACAGTGCATCAGATTGCAGACTGATTACTGTCCAACTCTTAAATATCCACTTGGAGGAATATATACATACATATATATATACCTATATATATATATGTGTATTTATGTATATATATCGGTTGTGGGGCCTGAACACTAGGCCTGGGTGCTGTCTTTGAGCTCAAGGCTTGTGCTCTACCACTTGATCCATAGTGCCACTCCAGGCCTTTTCTGTTTATGTCGTGCTGAGGAATGGAATCCAGGGCCTTATGCATGAGAGGCAAGCACTCTACTTCTGAGCCACCTTCCCAAGAAGGAATATTTTTGTCATTTTTTAGAAGTTTGTGTTAATTTACCTGATGTTCTGGCCAGGTTTTGTTTTACCTTTAATTAGCCTGGTCTAACTGAAAGCATATTCAGCACCTTTAGATTTCCTTTTGTGTGTGTGCTCC